CCAGTAGTAGCTCTATGGTCATGTCTTCCGACTCTTAAATTGTAAAAGAGTCCACGTTTAACACCGGCAGCGTCAACTGGTCAACAATCGTCATCTAGATTTGCCTCGGTTAGGATGACCATATGTCCCGTTGTCACCGGGAGAGTCATTTGTCCCGTTGTCACCGGGAGAGTCATGTGTCCCGTTGTCACCGGGAGAGTCATGTGTCCCGTTGTCACCGGGAGAGTCATGTGTCCCGTTGTCACCGGGAGAGTCATGTGTCCCGTTGTCACCGGGAGAGTCATGTGTCCCGTTGTCACCGGGAGAGTCATGTGTCCCGTTGTCACCGGGAGAGACATTGTCCCGTTGTCACCGGGAGAGTCATGTGTCACGTTGTCACCGGGAGAGTCATGTGTCCCGTTGTCACCGGGAGAGTCATGTGTCACGTTGTCACCGGGAGAGTCGTGTGTCACGTTGTCACCGGGAGAGTCGTGTGTCCCGTTGTCGCCGGGAGAGTCATGTGTCCCGTTGTCACCGGGAGAGTCATGTGTCACGTTGTCACGGGGAGAGTCATGTGTCCCGTTGTCACCGGGAGAGTCATGTGTCCCGTTGTCACCGGGAGAGTCATGTGTCACGTTGTCACCGAGAGAGTCATGTGTTTAGTGTACCTCAGCCGTCTCGTCGGTACTCTCACAAACACGCCAGCTCTCCCCTTTTATAAACATCTGTTAATTGGCTGGAGAACAGAACATATACTTTAGTTACACTTGAAGATCTATTTAGATTTCACAGTCTTAGATACGTTTTAAGCCCCAAATGCGTTGCATGGAATTTTTATTGTATGTTCAGTTCAGTTAGAGAGTTTCTCTTAATTTTTTAGCGTAATTTACCCTTTTTCTCCTTGACCTAGTAATAAAAGGTAGGATTAATTTACTTGCCTGTAATGTCCATTTTTCAGCTCAACATTTTAATGGGATGTCCCGTTTTGCAGTTCAAGGTTTTAGTAGGATGTTCCGTTTTCAGCTCACGAATTTTCCAGATGAAACTACTCACATCACATAGTCTATCGCTACATTGTACATCTCACCACTGTACATCTCACCACTGTACATCTGAACATCTGAACATCACCACTGTACATCTCACCACTGTACATCTCACCACTGTACATCTCACTACTGTACATCTCACCACTGAACCTCTCACCACTGAACTTCTGAACATCTGAACATCACCACTGAACATCTCACCACTGAACTTTCGGAGAATGAGAATATATCGGGAAAAAGAAACAAGATGCCAACAAACCAGTGCACTTATATACCACTTATATAACCCCCCCCCCCCCCCCCCCCCCCCCCCCCCCCCCCCCACCCCGAATGGTCCTTCCTTTCAGCAAAGTCTATGCAATCGAATCACATTTCTCACAGCTTGCACAAACCAAGCTAGCGTGCGACTTTTCACCACTGCCAAGAGAGGCTCCTGATGTCCTGCAAATGTGTATATTTTGTCTCTGACATATTTATTAGTTTTGTGTTCTAAATAACTAAATCGTAAAATGCGTCTGTAACATTCACATCCGAAAGCCTGAATGCTCCTTTCTATTTCCTCAGTGAGAGTCCAACTCTAACATCCATAAATAGACAACACCAGTGATTTCTAAACATTGACCTTGACTGTGCTGCTGATTTTGCTCTTCCACATCGTACTTAGCTGAGACATGGCGGCTGTTGCCAGATCAAGTCTTGTCTTGATCTTTTTGGTACAGCTGTCATCGTTACATATGTAGGAGTCAAGATATTTAAAGGTTTCAGTTTCTTCTATTCTTTTCCCCTTTTATCTGTTTGTTAGTAGGTGCGTGATTATTGTGACTATTTACCAGAATGTTGTTTTTCTCGGCATTAATTTCCATGCCATATTTAACACAGACTGTCTCTTGGTTCTGTTTCGGAAGCAGCCATGAGATCAAAGTCGTCTGGAAAATCTAAATTACACAGTTGTCTTCCGAACATAGATGTTTCATAAATTTCGAGTGTTTCTCTCATGATGTGTTTCAAATACACATTGACAAAGACAGAGGATATTATGCAACCCTGTCTCACTCCTACACTGGTTTTGAAAAATGTGTCCATGTCATTTTGAATGATTACTGCACTGTTTGCTTCTTTATAAAAGGCTTATAATGTGTCAATGATGTTCTTATTGAAGTTAAAATTTCTCATTATTTGACATAGCCCAGCATGCCACACACGGTCAAATGCCTTTTTGAAGTCGATGAAGTTACTGAATAGGTTGCGTTGATGTTGTAAATTTTTTACAACCATTGTTCTGAGGTTGAAAATTTGTTCTGTGGTACTTCTATGTTTTTCTTCAGATTTTGATTTCATTTTTTAAACAGTATCTGTAGCATTATTTTGCTTGCTTGGGTGGTTAGACTAATAGTTCTATAATTGTTTGAGAGTTTCAGATGTCCTTTCTTAAACAGTAGTATCCAAACGATTGTGTCCATTCAGTTGGCCTCTTCATTGTGATCCAAATTCTCTGGCACACTTCTGTCATCACCTTAGTTACGTGTTCTCCTCCGTATTTCAAAAGTTCAGCTGGGACATTGTCCACACCTGGTGATTTACATTCTTTTAGTGAGCATATCGCCACCTTATCTTCTCTTAGTTCAGCGTTGCCAGCTTCTCTGTTTTCCCATACGGTGATGTCTGCGACTAGAGTCTCAGGCTCTGCTTCTTGGTTATTCCAGTCTTTACAATATTCCTGATATTCTGCATAGAATCTTGAAACATACTACAGTGTACACACATACACGCACCACACACACACACCACACACACAGAGAGCCCCTAGTCAAGATTACACCACTAGAGAGAGCCCCTAGTCAAGACTACACCACTAGAGAGAGCCCCTAGTCAAGATTACACCACTAGAGAGAGCCCCTAGTCAAGATTACACCACTAGAGAGAGCTCCTAGTCAAGATTACACCACTAGAGAGAGCCCCTAGTCAAGACTACACCACTAGAGAGAGCCCCTAGTCAAGATTACACCACTAGAGAGAGCCCCTAGTCAAGATTACACCACTAGAGAGAGCCCCTAGTCGGGATTACACTTCTAGAGGGAACCCCTAGTCAAGATTACACCACTAGAGAGAGCCCCTAGTCAGGATTACACAACTAGAGAGAGCCCCTAGTCGGGATTACACTTCTAGGGGGAACCCCTAGTCAGGATTACACCTTTAGAGAGAGTTTATAGTCAGGATTACACCACTAGAGAGAGCCCCTAGTCGGGATTACACTTCTAGAGGGAACCCCTAGTCAGGATTACACCTTTAGAGAGAGCTTATAGTCAGGATTACACCACTAGAGAGAGCCCCTAGTCGGGATTACACTTCTAGAGGGAACCCCTAGTCAAGATTACACCATTAGAGAGAGCTTATAGTCAGGATTACACCACTAGAGAGAGCCCCTAGTCGGGATTACACCTCTAGAGGGAACCCCTAGTCAGGATTACACAACTAGAGAGAGCCCCTAGTCGGGATTACACCTCTAGAGGGAACCCCTAGTCAGGATTACACCTCTAGAGAGAGCTTATAGTCAGGATTACACCACTAGAGGGAACCTCTAGTCGGGATTACACCTCTAGAGGGAACCCCTAGTCAGGATTACATCTCTGGAGATCATCAATTAACGTGCGCCTGGTGGCCCAAAGAAAGTAGCAAGACAAGAACCACACATGGCTAGGAGAACTTAGGCTAACTATTGTCTCGAAGACAAGGTATCAGACCTCGCAGAAACTAGAATACATGATAATATTGTTGATAACATGGAAACACGATCTAGTCTATGTGGTTAGGTCACAAACTAGGCCACAGAAAGGATCTGTAGCAAATTTCTGAGTCGATAAAGTAACGAACGAAGATGTGAGTGTATTTCTACAGAGTCCCGAAAATATACCCTCTGCATGCCTACGTTCCTCCCTACAGTGCGTACATGTGTGCTCCTGATTAGCTTGCTTGCTTGCTTGCGTGCGTGCGTAGACAGAATTGTAAACAGACGAGCAGACAGGACACGAGGACGCCATGATAAGCATAGACATGACTGTCTGCATTGACACTTGTAGAGCAGAAGAGGACCATGGAGTCGAGCTTGTTGTCTGAAGGTCACTTCACTGCTGCGAGTCAGGAGTTTTATTTATGTCCTCAATTAAACAACAACAAAAACAAACAAATCAAATAACTTTAAGAAGGATTTGAACCCAAGTCTCTCGAGTGACAGCGTCCTAACTGCACGCCCAGCGCTCTATTAGGAGACGTTAATAGTCAAAAGTCCGGATGACTGCTTTCAGCGAGCGGTCCCAGTAGCCTGCAAGTGATATGTTTATACCCGGTATTGTTGTGACGATGTTCAGTTTAATGTGCAAAAACATGCGTCTGTATGTGTGGCCGATATTAACATAATCGTACACAATAATGCATGCATCTAGGACAGCAGGCAAGAAGGGCAAAGTGTTCAGCGAATGTTACACATGAGACTCGGTCTGACAGGGTTGTCTCCCATTTGTTTCAGATGGATATCCGAGGAGCAGATGTCGGCATTAGTTCTCACAGGGATTTATGATAAGACTGAGAGGGTTTGTGGCAACGATTATTTCATCACTGTGATACTGAGACAGACCTGGAGACCTCATCGTTCCAGCACTGATACGGATAGCGACGTGTAGGAGAACACATTATTTCAGCACGCGGCTGATACTGATACATTAGCTTTGTAAAGGGGCATACAGATACCAAGCAAATTGCATCAGTCTCCGTCGACACAAAAAGCGTCTTATCACAGTGCAGGAGATCAGAAACATCTGTCAAAGTTCTGGTGGAGATCATTAATCGGACAGAACTGCCTACCAGCAGGTCATAGGTCATTATATGCATTTGTCATTTACAGTTGGTAAAATAGTTCAGTAGAGCAGATCAGTGAAATTGTCCATTGGAATCATTTAGGCAGTACAAGACCTGAACATGGCAGCGACAAATGGAAGCGCTCCTGTGTTCCTGGGAGACTACAGTTTCAACACGGGGAGACTCAAACAATTCTCGCCTGTTGATTACGTCATGTTTGCCAGCATCCTGGTGATATCTGCCGGTATTGGCTTCTATCATGCCTGGAAGGATCGTAAGCAGAAGAGTTCCGACGACTTTCTCTTGGCTGGAAGGAACATGAGCCCCTATCCCGTGGCCCTGTCGCTGCTGGCTAGCTTTATGTCCGCCATTACGTTGCTAGGGACTCCAGCAGAGATCTACAATTATACAACCATGTATTTCTGGATTGGTCTCGGCTACCTGTTTGTGATCGCTGGAGCCAGCCACATCTACATCCCCGTGTTTTACAACCTTGGGGTCACCAGCGCATACGAGGTAAGCACTTTTTTTTTGTTTTACTATTTACTTTCTACGACTACTTTTATATCGCTATCTTCTCAGTTTTTACATTTTGTAATCATCTTCTCAACTACAGCTTTCAGAGGTTAAAAACCAGGCTGTCACAACAATCTACAACCAGTGAATGGACACAGCAGATGGCCAGGAAGATTTGTGAAAGAAAACACATACAATGAAGGAGTCAGCGTTTGAATACATTTCTTTATCCTTAAGAACTCAACAATCAGAACACTAAGTCACAGAAATAAAACAACAAGATTCTACAGAGAAATCGTCCACTCGAGGCAACAAATCATTATAAAACAGGGAAACGTGTGTGTGCACGTATGTTTAGTGTGTTATGTGTGAATATGTGTGATTGTGTATGACTGTGTATATATATATATATATATATATATATATATATATATATATATATATATATATATATATATGTGTGTGTGTGTCTGTGTGTGTGTGTGTGTGAGTGTGTGTTGGGTGTGTATGTGTATCTGGGACTTCCTGCCGAACGGCAGAACTAGGATCAGCTGCGTATAACGAAACATATGCGGACTTCTGGGACTTCCTGCCGAACAGCAGAACTAGGATCAGCTGCATATAACGAAACATATGCGGACTTCTGGGACTTCCTGGCGAACAGCAGAACTAGGATCAGCTGCGTATAACGAAACATATGCGGACTTCTGGGACTTCCTGCCGAACGGCAGAACTAGGATCAGCTCCGTATAACGAAACAAAAAAAAAAAAAAAAAAAAAAAAAAAAAAAAAAAAAAAAAAAAAAAAAAAAAGAAAAAAAAAAAAAAAAAAAAAAAAAAAAAAAAAAAAAAAAAAAAAAAAAAAAAAAAAAAATGCTATAACAGGGTCTCAGGGATATGTTAAGTGCGGACCTGTTTCTGTGACTGCCTCACCGCCGACCGTATTCTAGCTAAACTAGATGGCTGGGACTCACGAGCAGCAGCTACCGCATCTCCTGCAACTTCCTCTAACTCATTTGCTCGTGAGTCCCAGGCATCTAGTTTAGCCCCCATACGCGCCGCGCGTAGCGGCGCCTGGGATCCTTCGGCGGTGAGTGTAACCTCTAATCTGCGTCGGAGCGCGTGGTCTCCCCGCCATGTCGCTTTTATAGTCTGTAATGTTGCGTGTCTGGAAATTTTAAATGGTCGCTAGTATCGCCTGCTAGTATCGCCTGCCAGTATCGCCTGCTAGTATTGTATGCAGAAATGCTCAAAAGTGTCAATGGTCGCTAGTATTGCCTGCCAGTATCGCCTGCCAGTATCGCCTGCTAGTATCATATGCAGAAAGGCTCGAAAGTGTCAATGGTCGCTATTATCGTCTGCTGCTATTGTCTGCAGTGTTGCGTCTCTTGAAATTATGAGGTAATCCCAGTTTTGCCGCGATTTGTTCGGAAGTCCGAATATTTCTAATAGGACTGAGGCCCTGTTAGGATATTTGTTTGGCCGCCATAATGCCGGGGTAGAAGTTCGGAGGAGAGCCAGGGAAAAAAAATCAAATACTGAGGTGTTTTGTATTCCTTACAGCGAAAACAGTCAAATTTTGAGATTCTGAAGAGACGGGACGAAAAGAGAGAGTTGTTTGGGGGAAAAAGTGCAAATGTTGTATGACAAGATGGCTCATGCATTAGAGGGATCATTTCACTGAGTACAGAGGAAATTGTTTCATGTTGTAGAGGCAATATGGCTCATGGTTTAGAGCAGGGCTGTTCAAGTAAGTTTACGCAGGGCACAAAGTGTTTAAACACATGGCGATCAATAGGGGTCAGGATACGGAGCCTAGCCTAGACATTAACACGATGCAGCTGAAAACATTTTCATGCAGTAACTCTTAAGTTACTCTACAGTTGTTATCAATGGCCAATTGTCTAGCCTCCTGTAACATAACTGACACTGTGTTGTAAACTTGTGTCCATTGTAATGTCAAGTGTATTGTAAACTTTTGTAATAATTATTTAGGACTTCTTTTTAACGCAATTTACATTTTTCCAACTTTTCGATGGAACTCAAATTTCACGTTAGCTTTGTTAAATTTTAATTTTCATATTCATATACTATCAATAATAACTGTCAAGTCAGTTAGTAATGACATTTGTACAAGTGAAACAGAACAGTATGCAATTAATAGACAAATTTACATTTTTGTTTTTGAGCTAATTGCATTTTGTTTAAAGCAACATTGGTTTATGTGAGATCAGAGAAATTCCTATGCAATTTCATGATATCCTGCAGCCTATAATTGCTCAATGACCTCCGATTGTTTGTCTTGGTGGCATTTGTGTTTCAAAATCTTGATTCGTAGGTAAAAGTCGAAAGAAATCTGGTAAGAATGAATACTGCAACGTTTCTAGCATTTGGTTACGGCTACTGTTGAATTCTTTCGTTCTTGACTATATCACTTTCTTGAAAATCTTCATTGGGTGCACTGAAACTTTGGATATCTACAAGTTCTAACTGCAGAGGAGCTTTAATTAACAGAGGATAGTAACCTCTTAGCACTCGAAGCAAAATTACATGCATGAGTTGAGTTGAGACAAGAATTGACTTCACAGCACTCGGGACATTGCCATAGGCGTTCCGTCCCCATCCTCAGCAGCCAGCACAGAGTTTGATGACGAGGTTGATGTCTGTAAGACTGTAGACCTGTATGATATCGACCTCTGCCCTATCGAGCCATGATTTGCTCCGTCTTAGCCTGTTGCCATTTTTTTTGCGCTGGGGGGGGGGGTCATCCTTGTTTATTATCAAGGAATTGAGGAAACGCTCTGTCCCCATCTTCAACAGCCAGTGAAGAGTTCCGATACTAATGGTGCCAGTAGCATTCATTCTGATTAAACGTCCGTCTTGCCTTTTCTCTGAACCTCGAGCTTCTGCCAGAACCCCTCATCACTCCCCGCTGCATCAATCTCATTAGACTGTGGTGATCCATCTGCTCCTCCGAACTGTACAAGCTCTCCCTCAAGGCCCTAACCACGTGTGACTTATCATGCATCAGTATTCCATCACGTTGTGCAGAGCCAGCCAGTCTGTTCGCTGGTTCATTTCCTAACACACTGGCATACCCCGGTGAACAAATCCAGACAATACTCCTCACCCGTTTCTTCCGCAGCAAGACGCGCCACTCTGCACGAAGCATACCTGTCTTGATATTCCTCAGCATGCTTTCTGAGTCAGTTACAATCACGATGTATGTGTTTGTGTGTGTGTGTGTGTGTGTGTATCGTGTTCTCTAGCAAGTGGAAAGCTGCAGTGACCACCTTCCATTCTTAAGATGGATGTTGTGGTATCATATGCTAGGCTCTCCTGCACCAAACGTCAACCAATAACTTTTGCTAAGAAGCCCCAAGCACTTCTCTCGCCTCTTGACACTGAACCGTCTGTGTAAATGATCAAATCCTCTGAGCGAGCATTATCTTGAATTAATTGCTGAATTTCCATCTCGGTGGCACCTGCTGGCCAGTCTCTGCATTCCTGGCTCAGCGTGATTATGACTCTACACAAGTCTGACTGTTTAGGTGGCACTTTGACCCACTCCTCTCCTCGCCTAATGTTCTCAAGGATGCAAACCTGTCAGATTGTGTCTTCTGCCTGAGCCATCCATGACTTCCCTCTTATCAGCCGCTGATCCTTAACTGCGCCCTGAGCAGTTTTTTTTTTTTTTTTTTTTTTGTCTGAAAAGTAAATGAGTTTAGTATTGTGTCATGATACATAAATATATGTCGAGTGTTATTACAGTACAGGAAGAATTGTTATTTTTATATTATATCAGTTTTCAGACAAGCCTGCATCTTCTTTCAGCCAATGTGGTTGGTCATTGGTCATCATGTCTGTCCACATACTTGTCTTGTGGGCTGTCAATCATTTCTGCTACAGGTTATATTTCAAGTCTTGATTCCAGACTGATCAGCAGCTTCTCTCTTGACCCCCCCCCCCTCTCCACCCCCTTGCCCCCCCCCCTTTTTTTTCTCTTGGTCTTAGTTATTCCATCAAAACTACTTTACCAAACAATATTGGTTGTCACCTTCTAGTGGGAGTGGTTAGTTTTCATCCTTTGTTAAGCGCTTCCGCATAATTATTCACTAATCGGCGGACTTATCATCATACGACATTATGTCAGCTTCATGTTTCAGTATTCATGAATACGGAGTCTCTCTGTTATTTCAATACACCTGGTACCTGAGTAAACGTACTAAATCCTTTCCAGATCCTTGGATGTGTACCAAGCGGGCTGTATACAAAACCAATTTTCCCACAAGAAATAAACTAAAAAGAGTGATTAATCCGTTACCATGAAAACAAAACAGAACAATTACAGTTATCAACATATTTGACATCCACAGAGTCGTGTAGAATAATTGATGTGCTTCTGAATACCAAACTACACCGCGCATTAGATGCAATCAATGAAAACTTAAACACTTGATGTTTCTGAGAGAAGCCAGGTTTGACTTTTACTAAATATCTGACCACAGAACTTTGCTTCTGCCTTGTCCTGTGGATATTTCGGAAATGTGACATTTGTCTGATCATTCCAGACAACATTATTATGTCTTGTTAGAGCTTTGTGGTGATGGTACTTGTTTGCGAAGTCATTGACAAACATCCGTAGCTTGGTCTTGAGATAGGTACAAGAAAATAGTAGGCGGTGTTTGTGTGGAACACTACAGAGGTACAACTGTATTTGCATCTCATTAATATTCTATTGTGCTTATTTCAGTACCTAGAGAAACGTTTCTGCGCGGGCGTGCGGACATCAGCCTCCATGATATTTGTGCTTCAGATGGTGAGTGTTGTTACAATTGTTGGTGAGATTGTTTTATTTAATGGTGAGTGTTGTTACATTTGTTGGTGAGATTGTTATATTTGATGGTGAGTGTTGTTACAATTGTTGGTGAGATTGTTATATTTAATGGTCAGTGTTGTTACATTTGTTGGTGAGATTGTTATATTTGATGGTGAGTGTTGTTACAATCGTTGGTGAGATTGTTATATTTGATGGTGAGTGTTGTTACAATTGTTGGTGAGATTGTTATATTTAATGGTCAGTGTTGTTACATTTGTTGGTGAGATTGTTATATGTGATGGTGAGTGTTGTTACATTTGTTGGTGAGATTGTTATATTTAATGGTGAGTGTTGTTACATTTGTTGGTGAGATTGTTATATTTAATGGTGAGTGTTGTTACAATTGTTGGTGAGATTGTTATATTTAATGGTGAGTGTTGTTACAATTGTTGGTGAGATTGTTATATTTGATGGTGAGTGTTGTTACATTTGTTGGTGAGATTATTATATTTTATGGCAAGGTTGTTATAATTCATGGTGAGATTCTTATATTTGATGGGGAGGTTGTTTTATTTGATGGTGAGGTTGTTATATTTGATAGTGAGGTTGTTTTATTTGATGGGGAGGTTGTTTTATTTGATGGTGAGGTTGTTTTATTTGATGGTGAGGTTTTTATATTTGATGGTGAGGTTTTTATATTTGATGGTGAGGTTTTTATATTTGATGGTGAGGTTTTTATATTTGATGGTGAGGTTTTTATATTTGATGGTGAGGTTGTTTTATTTGATGGTGAGGTTTTTATATTTGATGGTGAGGTTGTTTTATTTGATGGTGAGGTTTTTATATTTGATGGTGAGGTTTTTATATTTGATGGTGAGGTTTTTATATTTGATGGTGAGGTTTTTATATTTGATGGTGAGGTTTTTATATTTGATGGTGAGGTTTTTTTTTTTTAAGGTGAGGTTGTTTTTTTTGATGGTGAGGTTGTTATATTTGATGGTGAGGTTGTTTTATTTGATGGTGAGGTTTTTATATTTGATGGGGAGGTTGTTTTATTTGATGGTGAGGTTGTTTTATTTGATGGTGAGGTTGTTTTATTTGATGGGGAGGTTGTTTTATTTGATGGTGAGGTTGTTATATTTGATGGTGAGGTTGTTTTATTTGATGGTGAGGTTGTTTTATTTGATGGGGAGGTTGTTATATTTGATGGTGAGGTTTTTATATTTGATGGTGAGGTTGTTTTATTTGATGGGGAGGTTGTTATATTTGATGGTGAGGTTGTTATATTTGATGGTGAGGTTGTTTTATTTGTTGGGAAATGTTATTACGTTTGACGGTGACGTTTTTATATTTAATGAAGCGGCTGATATATTTATTGATGAGTGCTATATTTAATGTTAAGTGTTGTTACGTTTGATGATGAGGTTGTTATATTTGATTGTTTAGTTTAGTTTTAGTTTTTCCTTCCACGTATGCCGCTAAGCGTTGTGGGGAGATGCAAGTTCCTGTCATAAGCAAGGCGGGCAGCATCTGATGTTCTGAGGCCATGCTTTTGGCAGGTTTCGGAGACCCCGTCAATATATTTGATTGTGAAGTTGTATTATTTGATGGTGAAATTGTTTTATTTGACAATCATGTTTTTACGGTTGGGGAGGTTGGTTTTTGTGTGTGTGTGTGTGTATATATATATTATGGTAAGGTTGTTTAATGTGATGGTGAAGTTGTTGTATTTGATGCTGAAGTTTTTTCATTTGATGATGAGGCTGCAATATTTGATGGTTACGTTTTTTTGGGGTGCTTTCCTGATATCCTACCCCAAACAGGGGGAAATTCACAGGTCATGGGACAGTCTAATATTTCAGGGGGGGGGGGGGGGGGTTGTAGATAGGCTGCATGCAGTCCTGAGACCTAGGCTGCACTTTCTCGTGTAACGTAGGTGGGTTGGGGTTAGGAATAGTTCTAGATGTTCTGGGGTGGTTAAAAGCCGGAAACCCAGTCTTGCCACCCTCCAAAATGTTGGACTGTCCTGTGAATCTGGGGTAAGATATTAAGAAAGAATTGTTTTCTTATAATTTGATGGTCATTATTTTACATTTGATGGAAAGTTTTTTTTTTTTCTTTTAAAAATCTGATGATGCCATTGTTACTCTCATTTGTAAATCTCGTCGTATTTCGCTTGAGGATGTTTATATTTGATGGTGCTCATTGTTATATCTTATCATGAGTGTTGTGTTCAATGTGGTGTGATTAAATTTCTATAACTAAAAGGCAGAGGCTATGTTTGCGGTATGTGTGTGTACATTCTCTCTACAACTTGTTTGCGGTATGTGTGTGTACATTCTCTCTACAACTTGTTTGCGGTATGTGTGTGTACATTCTCTCTACAACTTGTTTGCGGTATGTGTGTGTACATTCTCTCTACAACTTGTTTGCGGTATGTATGTGTACATTCTCTCTACAACTTGTTTGCGGTATGTGTGTGTACATTCTCTCTACAACTTGTTTGCCAGTTTTGTTTGTCATTTCAGATTCTCTATATGGCCATCGTGTTGTACGCTCCTAGCCTTGCCCTTAATGCTGGTGGGTATAGACTATATTTTTTTTTAAATTACACTTGGTCAACAAGTAGAACCTGTGTGCTGCCTCTATGTTGTGTGCTGCCCCTATGTTGTGTCCTGCACCTATGTTGTGTCCTGCACCTATGTTGTGTCCTGCACCTATGTTGTGTCCTGCACCTATGTTGTGTCCTGCACCTATGTTGTGTCCTGCACCTATGTTGTGTGCTGCCTCTATGTTGTGTGCTGCCTCTATGTTGTGTGCTGCCTCTATGTTGTGTGCTGCCTCTATGTTGTGTGCTGCACCTATGTTGTGTGCTGCTACTCTGTGGGTAATGTGGTCAGCATTACGCCGGCTGTCTTTACTTTCCCAGGACAGCCCATCCTGGTACCCATTTTAGGCTGGTTCGACCTGCGACGTCACATACCACGACAAAAATCCACGCAGCCTGCAGTGGGTTTCGATGGCGGTATGCTGGCTGACGAGTCTGACTCGCAACGCCTCAGCCACGGACGCCGCTTTCGCCACAATAGAGTCTCGAAAATCCCATGGCAAACTTTGCAGACACATCTGTTGTCCTAATAGCTGATTATCTTAACACCATTTTAAACTTGATATTCTGTCTCTCTAATGTGACACATTTTAACATTAACTGGCACCTTTCCGTTCTTCCAGACGATATTGTTGTACTGCGTTATGAGGAGGCTTGAGACTCACATCCTATGGTGAGGGCGAGTGTGACTAGCAAGACCAGCCCGCGTTAAGAAAAAAATCTTCCACATTTGTAGCATGGGGATTTCAGGACCAATGTTGTCAACATTTGTGTTTTGTCTGTTTCTGCTCAGACGCTTAGCTCTCATCCTTTCTGCCATCATTTCTTCCTTCATTGTGTTCCCCCCCCCCCCCCCCCCCGACATAACATGGTCATTGGCATTTAGTTCCCATGAGTCCACCTCAATACCTGTATCATTCATGTCCCGCTTGCACACATCTTTATATCGTAGTAGAGGTCGCCCTCGACATCCTCTACCTGTCTTTAATTCACCATAAAGGATGTCCTTGGGGACTCTACCTTCCTCTATTCTCGCCACCAGCATGAATGTCCTTGGGGACTCTACCTTCCTCTATTCTCGTGACCAGCATGGATGTCCTTGAGGACTCTACCTTCCTCTATTCTCGCCACCATCATGGATGTCCTTTGGTACTCTACCTTCCTCTATTCTCGCCACCAGCATGGATGTTCTTGGGGACTCTACCTTCCTCTATTCTCGCCACCAGCATGGATGTCCTTGGGTACTCTACCTTCCTCTATTCTCGCCACCAGCATGAATGTCCTTGGGGACTCTACCTTCCTCTATTCTCGCCACCAGCATGAATGTCCTTGGGTACTCTACCTTCCTCTATTCTCGCCACCAGCATGGATGTCCTTGGGTACTCTACCTTCCTCTATTCTCGCCACCAGCATGGATGTTCTTTGGGACTCTACCATCCTCTATTCTCGCCACCAGCATGAATGTCCTTGGGTACTCTACCTTCCTTTATTCTCGCCACCAGCATGAATGACCTTGGGGACTCTACCATCCTCTATTCTCGCCACCAGCATGGATGTCCTTGGGTACTCTACCTTCCTCTATTCTCGCCACCAGCATGAATGTCTTTGGGGACTCTACCTTCCTCTATTCTCGCCACCAGCATGAATGTCCTTGGGTACTCTACCTTCCTCTATTCTCGCCACCAGCATGAATGTCCTTTTGGACTCTACCTTCCTCTATTCTCGCCACCGGCATGGATGTCTTTGGGGACTCTACCTTCCTCTATTCTCGCCACCAGCATGGATGTCCTTGGGTACTCTACCTTTCTCTATTCTCGCCACCAGCATGGATGTCCTTGGGTACTCTACCTTCCTCTATTCTCGCCACCAGCATGGATGTCCTTGGGTACTCTACCTTCCTCTATTCTCGCCACCAGCATGAATGTCCTTGGGGACTCTACCTTCCTCTATTCTCGCCACCAGCATGGATGTCCTTGGGTACTCTACCTTCCTCTATTCTCGCCACCAGCATGGATGTCCTTGGGTACTCTACCTTCCTCTATTCTCGCCACCAGCATGGATGTCCTTGGGTACTCTACCTTCCTCTATTCTCGCCACCAGCATGGATGTCCTCGGGTACTCTACCTTCCTCTATTCTCGCCACCGGCAGGTTGAGAACCACAAGCCTAGAAGAATGACAGCGGTGTGCCACAATCTGTAATATCACCGTACAATCACGCATCATATTAATGTTTAATTAATTATATCTTCCTCGCCTAACTATACAGTCAGCTATTACACATTAATATATAGGTATTATGATATCGTTTGAAAAGTATGCATTTTTCATATATGCAAACTATCTGTTTGTCTGTCTGTCTGTTTGAATGTCTATCTCTTCATAATTAGTGACACGCACACAAACACACTCTCTCTCTCTCTTCAATCTCCCCTCCTCTTTTTCCTCCACAGATGATTCTTCTTTCATCCATTTTATCATGTGATTTCTCTTCTACCCATTTAGAGATGACCCCTCCATTTTCTTATCCCTATCCATAAATGATTCTTCTACCCATTTAGAGATGACCCCTCCATTTTCTTATCCTTATCCACAGATGATTCTTCTACCCATTTAGAGATGACCCCTTCATTTTCTTATCCTTATCCACAGATGATTCTTCTACCCATTTAGAGATGACCCCTCCATTTTCTTATCCCTATCCATAAATGATTCTTCTACCCATTTAGTGATGACCCCTCCATTTTCTTATCCCTATCCATAAATGATTCTTCTAC